GGCTGCAGCAAGGACTGACTCCATGGGAACCAGTGGCAGATGTTTTGGAAGCTGAAACTTGGAGTCAAAGTGCATTTTAGATATTGTACTTTGTATTATATTGAATCAGCCAGATAAAAGGAACAATTGAAAATAATTGAGTGCCCTGCAAACTTCATTGTAAACGAGATCTGGTCAGAGCACCGTATTACTGCCCGAAGTAGAACAGATGGGCTACTACTTTTAATGCAGAGTTTGGCAAATGCTGCCATGAGATATTTTCTGGTGTTACTGAGACTAAGATGTGTGGGAGAGAGCTCAACGACCTGACTGTCCTGCCTGCTGTTGGGGAGGGCAAATGAGACTGGCTTATTCTGAGGCCTAGGTAAGAAGTGAAGCAATGTGCTGGGTTTGTTTTCTACCAGCCCCTACAGATGTTCTGTAGGGGACAGAGTGCTGTTCAGGGTGGTAAGTGGGGTCCTTATGATGGCAAGACTGAGGAGGATGGCTACATATATATGTAGGGCAATTCATAACAAAGTATTCTCCAATATGGTACACCAAAATCCCACACCTTATCTGAACAATATCCTTAACTGAGGGGAACCACTCACTTTGGAAAATGGGCATCTGGTGCAGCTGAACTATAGCCCAAAGTCAGGTAAGGGGATGCTTTACTCTATGACTAAGGATGAAGAAGAGGGTGAGAGTTCATAGTCATCCAGACATACATCCTCATTTCATTCCATGTACTCTGTCCCAGGCCAGCCTTTCCAGGTCACTGACAAGATAAAAAAGACAGTGCGTCAGAAAATTTTTGATACTACTCTGATTAATTATTCTTACAGCTAAGTTGAAAAAAAAAAAGTTTAAAACTGTGGGACTGTGAAGGCAAAGGAGTTTTGCTACTTGCACTTAAATACACTCATTCTTGCTATCAGGCAATCACAGACAGGAGCAATGAAAATAGCCTGCATAGCTTTCCATAGCATTGGAAGATCATTTCCCAGAAGATACATGTATGCTTTAATGTGTACCTGCAATATAATGTAAGGTATGGAATGGTATTTCCAATATTCGAGAGTGGCATCCCTGAAAAGCCCAACTTACCTCTTCAGCCTTCATGTCTTACTGGCAAACTTAATACATTCTCAACAGGGATGACAATATTTAGAAGTACTAATTGCTTCATCCAACATATATTGTGGTCCCCACAGCAATCCTCACTTCAGACTTAATCACACGGATCAATATTTGTATTCATTTTCAAAATTACTGCAAACATGATTACAACTATTTGACTGAACACAAGGTCTTGTTATTCACGAATGCTATCTTCAGGAACCAGTTCACATTTTTAAATTGCTTCTGCAAGATGCCAAATTAGCTGGCCTGAGGACTCAAATCCATAGCTGACCCACAGCTACAGAGTCTTTGCCTTGGCAGTCAATGCTTCCCATATTGCCTTCATGTGTATGCTGTTCCTGGAAGGAGCAATTCCATAAATAACTCTAGCACGTTTAAATCCCTAGCATGTTTAAATACATCCCTTTTGAGGAAAGCACATGCTTAAAATTAAGCATGTGGCCTAAGTATTTTGATGAATAGCAATGCTTTCCAAAACTGGGACAGTAGGAAGGAGACTCTGATATCCATGCCCAAACACCGGCTGAGATGGTTTCAGTGATGTGGGTACAACTTGGCTCTGTACCAAAGCTAACAAACTGTCTCCTATAAATCACTAAGTAACTGCTAATTAGCAGTGTGTGATGGTTGTTTGAAACATGCCTTACATTTACTTTCCTAACTGAAATTTTGCTTTTGGTCTAGGTTCTTCTTTCTTGATTTTTTTTTCTCTTTATAGTACAAGGTTGTAGAAAGTGAGTAGAATGAAAAAAAGTCCTAGCCCTTTGCAAGAGCTTCAATAATATTATAGAAGTTTCAGGGGAAGTTTTCTTTTTCTTTTTCTTTTTATTTATTTATTTATTTATTTTTTCCTGAATGTTCCTGAGACTGAAGAAAACGAACCTCAATCCCTTAATGAGTGTGGTCTTCCTGAGGTTTCCCCCTTCTCTGCATCTGAAATACCTTTACCTACCTCTAGTCAAAAGGGGAACTGTCTTGGTTTCTGAGGTTTCACCACCATTTCAGGATTTTATTCATTGACTGATGTTTATAGTCTCCCATCAAAGGTCAAAAATAATCTTTTCTTTCTGTCTGTCTTTTCTGGTGTTCTTTTTTTGTTTGTTTGTTTTGTTTTGTTTTGTTTTGTTTTTGGGGGGAGGAGGAGGTGGTTGCATTTTTTTTTTTTTTTTGCTTATTTTTTTGGTTTCTTAGTTTTGTTTTGTTTTGTTTTTCAGAAACAGAAGACAGGAAATTATCTTAGCAGAAAAATGACTTGAATTAATCAAACTATTATGATTGAGGCTGCTTGTTTGTTCATTAAAAATGAAGCAGAATGATCAGCTTTTGCCAAATAAAACACTCTCAGCTATTTCAATTACTGTTTTAATTGGCTGGGCCTGCCTGTCAGATTATCCTCTAATCTGTACAAGAATGTTGTTTGGAAAAGATGAGGCATGCCCAACTTGGAAGCCACGTTCATCACTTCAGCTTATTCTGGTCCAAATATCATTCCATTAGTACAGTGTAGTTTCATGACACTAAAAGTGGCAGGTCCTGGGTCTCCTTTCTATAGATACCATGCAAGACACATTCCCACCATCACTGTAAGAAAAAAAAAAAAAAAAAAAAAAAGACTGAAAGTAGAAGCTCAAAAGCTTCACAAAACACATGAATTTAGAAGTGTTTACGTATCATCAGAATGGTCTACTTAAAATCTAAGGTTCATATCCACATTAGGCTGCTCTGCTTGTCATTCCACAAAGTCTGGCTTCCGTACCATGTGCCCAGTATAACCATTTAAGCCTGAGATAATGACTGGGGTTAGAAAAAATAAATAAATAAATAAAAAGCTCGAACCATAGCACTACATTTCAAGCAAACAGAAATGTTTTAAAGTGAGGTACAGAAGTAGGGATGTTAAAATATACGGGTCTAATTGCATCAATTCCCTTCTGCTATAGACTTCCTGCACTGCCTTAGACAGTTCTCTGCTCAGTGCCTCCATTTCCTACTTCAGCAGAATGGGAACAATGTCCAGGCTTTACTTGCACTGTCCATGGCTCTTGAAGACATAGATACTTGTACAGATCAATACACAGAATGCCCAGCACTTTATAGACCTGATTTCAGCAGAAATGCCAAGATCCTTCTGATATATATTGCCTGTTTTTTCTTCAGGTTGATTTGTACTTAAGACCCATGCATGTGGACAAATGTTATTCTTGAATAAAGTGACAGAGATGACATGGAAAAATGCTGCCAAGGGAAAGAAAGAAACAAAAAAAAAAAAAAAAAAGTTTTTTAAAAGTGTTTTGATAGAATGTTGGAAAGGGATATACCACAGAGAAACTGCTCTGAAGTTCAGTTCTATAAAGAATTAAGGCACATTTTCTAAAAGGTGTAAGCATTTCCCAAACTTATCATTCTTTTGCATTTTGTGTATGAACATGAGTATACAGCATGTTTACAAATACTTCACCACTCTGTAATACTTTCTAATGTGGATACATAAATAGATTGCAACCTATACTGCCAAATCATCTGCATGGAATAATACAAAGCAGGGTAATGGTGAAATGCAGCTTACAGAATATCAAGTGGAATAAACTGAGTCTAGCATAATTCTTTGCTTTTGCTTTTGCTTCTTGGGACACTGAAATTGAAGAATCAGTGAACAGCTCATAATGAACTGGCAACACATAAAGCAAACATAGTGACTATTTTTGCAATAAGCTGTTAATATCAACACAAAGATCAGGGAAATTAATGTTGCTCAAGTAGAAGGGGTAACACACCAATAAATTGAGCTATCAAAAGGTCAAAGCATCCTGTTTAACTTTGACCTTGATAATTTACACATTTATTTGCAAAATTACAAAATAAGAATATACTTAAAACCCAGTAAACTGTGGAAATGCAACCTTATTTTTCTGCAGTTTATGCAACCTGGACTAAATAAATTTGAAATCTCTTTGAGGAAACCTGCTTTCAGAATAATTTTCACCTGGCTGGTTAAACGTTTATGACAGGTCTGTGTTTTAAGTCTTTCATTTTTTCCTTCAGTATTTATGTAATGCAGAAAAATGGGAGAACCTTTCAGTCCAATAATATTTAAACCAAACTCAGCAGATCTTTAAATGGATTATCTGAAAAGAGATATCTCACAGGTGGAAGAGAGAGATGAATGCTTTTAGTATTCTTACTGTGGGGAGGCTGTGGTGAGCTAAACACCTTACATGTATAATGCACACAAAAGGGAGATCTGATGAACGCCTTGTTTCTACAAGAAACATCAGCGAGATTTGTACCTTATTTAGTGTCAGAAACTTCACTTCTAAGTCAAGGTTTCTTCCCCGTTTGTGGCTGGGACTGCAAAAGAGTGGACACTGAAGCTTTAATAGTGGTCAAATCACATATTCAGTCTAGAATGATTTCCACTACAGGAGAAACAGAAATACCTTCTATTGACTTTGCTTTCATATCTTTGGATAGAAAAGGTATACTTAAAAAGTATGATGAAATTTAGCCTGCATTTAATTTCAAGAAGGGTTCGGTCCAAATTGAGCAGTGTGTTTTTCTCCTCTCAGGTAATGGGCATTTAAAAAATAATAATTTACAGCTATGATTTTTTACAAATAAAAGTTCGGTGAGCTACCATCTATCCCCTGACACCTCTTGTTGTTACTCCTGCCACCAACAGCAGGTTTGATCACACAACACTTTTTCAGCTGAGCAGCCCTGGAGAATCATGCAGGTAGATAGTCTACATCAAAGTCTATCAATCAGAGCCTGAGAGTGTTGCAGTTTCACCTTTTGACCTGTTCAATATAACAATAAAATACCTACTTCCTTCACAAATCTTTTCAACACTTTTTTTTTTTTTTTTTTTTTTTAAGCCAGTTCAAAGTTGTTGCTTTTTCCCCTTGAAACAAAGAAGCATTATGAAGTCAACAAAACTGTTTCCACATCATGGATAGATTGGCATGCAATCTTCTCAAAAAGGTATGAACTGTTGAAGCCTAGCTGCCAAAGGTTTTCATATATTGTCTGTATTCACATGTGAACTTTGCTGAACTAAAAGGAGAATGTACCTGACCCTAAACTTTAACAATATTTATTTAAATGACTTTTTATATTAATGGTAATAATAATTAGAGTAGTAATAATAATAATATGAATTATGAAGATCGGTTTGGAATTTCTATATATTAATTCCATCCTTATTGGTATCATTATTACAATGACTACAATTTTACTATTTTTTTTGTAGTAAAATCACTTCTTAAAAGTGACATTAAGATATAATTTTATGAGGAATTTTACTGAAAAGTGGGTTACTAAACTAAGCACAAGACTAAAGGAGATGCCTTCAAAATATATGCAGGACAGAGCTATACGAAGTTTTGAATTTCAAGAAAAGATTTGGACCCTGTGCAGAGATGAACAAAATAATGTCTGTGTATCTGTTCACTGTCAGAGTCGGAGGAGAGAAGTCAAAAGAAGAATCAAAGGTTGTGTCTTTGGATGTGAAGGAGAATGGTGTTCTTCACAGCCATAGAAAATGGAAGAGGTAAAGGTTTTGCAGGTAAGATAGAAAGGATTGGTTTGGGTTAGACTATGCTTGAGTTGGCCTTGAGCTGTTCAGGATACAAAGTCGGGGAAAAAATATATATATAGAGAGAGAGAGAGAGAATCACCCATCTGAAAGATGATGAAGAAGGGAAAAAGTTAAAAGAAAGGTATTTTCTGAAGCAGACACGTCAACTCAGAGTTAATAAGTAAATCTGTACAAATGGTGACATACAAATGCTGAATAGAGGGGAAGGAGAGGTGAGCAACAAAAGCTTTTGAAAGAAGAGAAGAACAAACAGCTGACAATTGCTTATGACAGACATGCATTCCACTGAGGTACAGAAATACCACATGACACCAGCAAATCATTTAATTTAGGAAGCAGATGAATTTAGGATCTTGACTATTGAGTGATGTGGAAAAGATTAACCCACTTCAGATCAAGTGCAAATGGTTTCAAATAACTAATTTGGGAAAATGCAGATTCAATTACTACTCAAAGAGAAGCTGAATGTAATGATGCTTCTGCAAAGAATTATTCATTCAGGGCTAATAGTTATTCATGTCAGAGGAATATTTAGTAGCTTAATTCAGACAACTCTAGGACATGTTTTTAGATTTTCAGATGAAATATACCTAAAGAATGAAAAACTATGTTAGTTGTATATATAATTATTTTAATGAAACAATAATTGTATTTTCAGAAAGATATGTAATAACAAGATTAAGTACATCCTAAATCTCCATTTGTCATTTGTTTACTGTACTTTCTTAAAGTTGATCATTCTGGGTAATACTCAAACAGTCCAAATTCTGCTTAAGTCTCCATGTCTAGAACTAAGAGTGCTTTAAAGAATCACTCAAAGAGCTTAAATTACGTGTTAAGGAAAGTAGTAATTAGAATTAGCTAATAGGAGAAAACAGGCATGGAGACTTAGCTAAAATACAGCATATGTTTATATACTATATTGAAGAGAAACTAGTGTACATTTTCATCTAAGTGCTTACCGGAATCTAGACCTATGGTCATAATTAAATACAAAATTGATGATGAATAAGCACTGAACTGCATCAGTCACACTGACCTCAAGTATTATTTTAATTAGCAAACAGTCCTGTTTGACCTAATTGGGCCCATTCTGGTGAACAACGAGTTATGAGTAGTTTCAAAATGCGTGGGCATGATGGTCACAATTTATTCAGTGCTAGAAAGTACCTTTCATAGCCAAAAGCTGCCAAACACTTGCATTTTTAAAACTGCAGATGAGAAAAGCATTTAGGGAATGACTAGTTTATTAGCACATTGTTTGTTGTCCATACTACATGTGCTTTGGGGGAATATATCCATGTTATTTTATTTTATCTTAAATAGAGTTGAATATTTTAACACTATTTATAAAGCTGCACATTTTAGCATGCAAAGCAGTCAGGAACATTCCATAGGCATCTGCTGGGACATGGGCTACTGCTCTGCCAACTTTCTGTGGGCAATATTTTTTTTTAATGCAATGAAGAGAATTCCTTTGAAAGGAACAGACAAATATATGTGTGTAGTTTACATACTTCTGTGGTTCACATATTTTGTGGCTAAAAATATCCAGAGTCTATATCCCACCTTCAGATTCAGACTTGGAAGCAGATCCAGCTGCAGAGTACAGCTCTTGTGTGTGGCTCATCTTTTCTTGTGTGTGAAAATATTTTTTTTTTAAATAAAAAATAAAAAAGAAAGAAACCAACCCTGAAACCTTAAACCTTGGAATCTGACTTGGCATGACTATTCCTTTCATAATTTCATTTCAGAAGATGCTGTCCAACTGTCTCTACATAAGGGCAAACATGCAAAGGTTGGACAGCAGCTTAAAAATTACAATCTAAAGACTTCCTAAAATCTGATATTTGGACTGACCAAACTGAAGGAAAATATATCACTTGGCTTTAAAGATGGCAACATCACAGGAATAGACTCTCTTAGATTTCTGGCAGGTTCACTGACTTGTCACAATGACTTTCTCAACACAGAGCAGCAAACACTACTTTTACTACTGAGCTTAAGTAGGATGCATGCAATGTTCCTACAGTGCTTCTACAAGTGGAGATGAGGCCCCAGTTCTTTTGCTACCTCTAGACAAGGTGGGGTGAATGGGATGGACTCTTACAAATTAAGCCTGTCATTTTCAGCTATATTATTCCTTGCTAGGTTAAGATCTATAGTTGCAAAGACATACTCACCACTTAAGATAGAAACATTTATTCTGATTCTCTTTAAAAATTCTCTTTAAAAAACAGCTAATTCTCTTTAAAAAACAGCTAATTGGTCTTTAAAATGGTGCTCCAAAGAAAACCAAGGAATACGTGGTTTATGTAGACATTTGTGCAATCATGTGAACAGAGGACCTTTTTTCAACCTGAATCACATGACAGTTAACTGTGTAGGCTGAAACAAATGGAGCTAAACACAAATTCAGCCTTTTCTTTTCTCTTTGTCTATGGCAACTAGCCACCCTGTTTTCTGACAGGTTCCCTCTTTTAACACAGCTCAAAAAGTAATTTGATTGGGCAAATGGGATGTGACCCATGTCCAGAAGGCCTAGGGAATGTTTTGCTACCAGACCAGGCAACAGCAGTAGCTCTTGATACATTCCTGCATGTGCAGAGGTCTTGGACCAGTGACAAGAGCACTGTTGTGAACTGACTCTACAGATACCCTGTGCTCACTGCACATACACTCCGTAGTCAGTCTTTGCATCTAGTCTGATGCACCCAAAAATGTTTCTGATTACATGTGTTGGCCATCTGTGTATTGCATGCATATATATGTTCCAGTCCAGGATTTCCCATATGGAAATATGGGAGTACTTTCTGTACCCACATTGAAGTAATCATTATTAGAAGTGACCTGAGTCCATGCTTGCCCTTCTCAGTACACCAACAAGGAACCAAATTTGCTTTCATTAACATGTCTGCATGTGTTCATCCAAACACATTGCAAAATATTGCATAACTTCAATGCTGCAACAACTTCATATCTCCTTCACAGAAATTTATTGTCAGCTAATAAGAGCTTTGTCTCTGAAAAAAGGGTAAAAAAAAAAATCCCAGCTTTTCTTGAATTATAAATGTAATTTCAATTGTTCTTGCTTTAATTTTTGTACTGTTCACTCTCAAGAAGTGCTTGTTTGACCCTGAGGTTCATTTTCCAGGGTGCAACTGACATCTGTTGATTTCATCATGGGAAATAACTTTTCTTTACTTTGACAGATAAATAACATTAGGAGATTGATATTTAACTGGCCACAGTTTCCACCAACAAATTCCAAACAAACTGTAAAAAAAAAAAAAAAGTAATATATTTTAATATATTTCTTCCTCTCTTTGAAATATCCTATACCCTATTCCTTTACCATTACTCATCTCTAGCTGGGAAAAATGTGTACATATTTCTCCTGAAAAATGGTTTCTGATGGCTTAGGAAGTGGATCAGGATTATGTGTTTTACATCCACAGGGTATGGGGAGGTCCCCAATTCATTCCTGAAATACAGAAATTTATGTAACCACTAAGATGCTGAAAGTAGGGTAATGTTCTTTCCAGCCTTAAACACGAGGAACTAAGTTAAGACAGAAGAGTAGCTCTGGTGGGAAAATGATCAGAGAAAGGCTGTTCTGTTTAAATGAAAGCATGAAGCATTCTGAGCTACATGCCTGCCATTAAACAATGAAGACCATATTCAGTGCTGAAGCTAAAAAATAAAACACGAGTTCACAATCATAGGAAGTCACCTCGTCCAAACTGTGGTCTCAAGAGAGGGACATTTATGTTCTCTGAGACCTCTGCTAATGGAGATTTCCCAAAATTCCCAGATAATTTGTCTCAGTCTCTCACTACCCTTATTGTAAGAATATTCAGCATATTTTTACATCTAATATTTTTAGAAGACTACAAATAGCTCTTACTCTGGACTTTCCTCAGTTGGTCCATGTGCTAATGTGGTGGTTTTACCCAGCTGGGCAGCTGAGCTCCACCAGCAACTGCTCTCTCACTCCCCCTCCTCAAAGAGAAAGGGGGGGAAAATACAATGGAAAAGGGTTCAAGGGTTGACATAAGGACGGGGAGATCACTCAACAATTAACATCATGGGCAAAATAGACTCAGAGTAAGGAGATTAGAAAAAATTATTGCCTATTACTAACAAGGTAGGGAAGTGAGAGACAAAGAAAAACAGAGAAAAAACTTTTTTGCATCCACCTCCTTGCTCCGAGTAGTGCAGAATAACAGGGAATGGGAGCTGCAGTCAGTCCCCAACGCTTTGTCCCTATGTCAGTGACATAGGGACAAAGCGTTCACGGTCATGGTCACTCTCTGCTCCTGCTCCACGTGGGGTCCCTCTCACAGGATGCAGTCCCTCCCGAACTGAGCCTGCAGGTGCTGCCCAGAGGCAGCAGCTCTTCAAGAACTGCTTCCACATGGTTCAGAACCACATCCCCCAGTAGCAAACTGCTCCAGCATGGGTCCCCCATGGGTGGCAGCTACTCCAGGCCACATCCACGGGCTGCAGCTTGGAGATCTGCTCCATGTGGTTCCCAAGGGCTGCAGGGGGACAGCCTGCTCCACCAGGGGCCTCTGCACAGGCCGCAGGGGAACTGCTGCTGCATGCCTGGAGCACCTCCTGCCCTCCTGCTGCACTGACCTTGGGGTCTGTGGGGCTGGTTCTCACTCCTTGCTTTTCCAACTGCTGTGTCACAGCAGGTTTTTTTTTCCCCCATCCTTAAATCTGCTCTCACAAAGGCACAAAAAACATTGCTTATTGGCTTGGTTCTGACCAGCAGCAGGTCCCTTTTGGAGCCATCTGAAAATGGCCCTTATCTAACATGGGACAGCTTCTAGCCTCTAATTACAGATGCCACTCCTACAACCCCCCACTACCAAAACCTTGTCACGTGAATCCAATACATCTAAAGAGCAAGGTGGCACCACAGATTTTTTGACTATATGCTACTAGCTATGTGTTCTGCCCCTGATTTTACCAGCTTCCTTCCTTTGACTAATTTCAAAAGGCATTATTGACACTTTCCTGTGTCAATAACCCATGTTATAACCCATAATGTTCATGGGTTAGACTATGTCAGATTTCCTCATGGGAATCTGAGGAGTATCAGCACACAGAGCTATTCCCACTAGAATTTGCTAGGAGAACAGATTAGGAACATCCACTGTACTTCAGCAACACCTTCAGTGTGAAGATCCCTTTTTGCCTCCCAACAAGATTTTCACACTTGTCTGCCCAAAGAACCAAGTTAGCCTGTCACAAAAATATGAAATAAAGAGGAGGAAGCGCAAGGATCTATTTGTGATCACAGACTTGATTGCAGTTGGAATTTGTTACCAAGAGGATTCTTCTCTGATAAGCATGTATGTGGTCCATAGAAAATACTCTACATGAAACTTGGAGGAAGTTGTTTAGGTGACTTCTGAGTTGCCCTTCACTGTGAATTCCAACTCTGACTTCATTCTGTGCATTATATTCTTCACATGTATACCATCCACTGTCTTCCCCGAGGCTTACTTTATTGTAAACAGACTGGGTCTGTCAAAAAGGAAACCAGTTATATTGACAGGAACACCTTTGAGAACAGTTAGACCCAGAGCTAGCACATCAAAGGGGCTGCCAAAAACCTGGTGAGCATTCTGGATCTGTAACAGGCATTTTGGAAATGCTTCAGAAATGCATCCTTTTCTTTTGGAGCCTTCTGCTAGCACTGAAGAAAATGATTAAAGAACAATACTTTTTTTTTTTTTTTTTTTCCCTTAGGTTCTAGGAGAACAGTTCCAGACGTTTTAACACTTGAAAATTGTCATCTGCAGAAATCAGCAGTGTTGCACTCACAGTAAGCTTGAGTTTTTATGCCTTTCTTCTATGTGACTGGTCATCAGGCCAGGAACTGTCTCATCTACTTCTTCTCCATTTTTAATGTGTTATTAGTGATAGTTATTTATCTATCCAAGTGTTATATTGCACTGAAATTAATAACTATTTTTTATTAGTTGCATTTTTTTTAATTTTTTTCTTACTGTAAATTACTTGATTACATTTCTGAGGCAAAGACATAATGTTTTTTTACAACTGTGGCCACTTTGATTTCCTCGCTGAACATGCTGCCTCAAGCATCACTTTGTGTCTTTCAAAAAGTATAAAACAATAAAATACTTAAGCAGATTCTTAAACAGTATTAACAGTAATCCAGTGGATTTATATCAGTCCAAAAGGGGATGGGAAAGGGACATAGACAGTGAGAAGCAGATGTATCTTTAGCTTGAAAGGATATTTTTACCCTGCATACATGTATACTGGAAGTGGAGGTAATAGAAATACAGCCAATGCAGTTTCAGAGCTCAGCTCTGCAGCTGCAGCACACTACCAGTGTGCTTCAGAAAATAGGTGTGTTTAGACCGAGGCTGATGCATGTCTGGCCATAACAAATTAGTGTGCAAAACAACCATAGGCAGATCCAGTGTCATAAAAGCAGTGAGCCCTGCTTTCAGTGTCAGTTCAGCTTGGTCCATTATGTTTTGCCTTTGACTCTCCTTCTCCAACACATGTATATCCAGTTTATATGGAAGCCATGTATTTCACTGACTCTAAGAACTATTGGCAACTGCAGTGCTGTAAAATAAGAAAGTCTTCCAACAGCGGTTTTCATAGGCTTGATGACTGGCATTTTCAGTGCATGTTTACATATGTATGTTTGGCATGCTGGAGGCCTGAGCACACTGCTCCTCCAAACACCTTGGTGTGAACCAAGACTAGCAGAACAGCATCTGCACTTAAACAGTAAAATGCTGTTCAATGAAGAATTGCCTCATAGCAAATCCCAGACAGTGCCATTACTGCATACCTGTAAACTGCTGCCAGAGGCTGATGTCTGTTCAGTCACATTGTGACAGCATTTATAGCAGGACAGGATAGTTTTAGAGACAATAACATATGGGATGCAAGATGCAGCAAGGGAAACAAATAAAATCTTTTTTTTTTTTTTTTTTTTTTTTTCCAGAACAAGAGTTGAGTGCTGTGAAAGATCAGAAACTCCTAATTCATGCTGTCAGATTTTTATTTTATCCACAGAATTCACAATTCCAGAAAAGAAATGGTCTTCCAAAGCATTGGAAAACCTTCAAAAATTCTGCCTTTAATCATAATTGCTTGAAAGTATCAGAATCTGTGTGGATAATATACAAATCCAATAAGCTCAATATGAAAATCAGTTCAGTTACATAGAGGACATCAAATTAAAAAAAAAAAAAAAAAAAAAAAAAAAGCTAACAGAGGATTTTCACAGTTTATAGTTTGCCATTCTTTAAAGATATGACAGTGAAGTTTCTTGTTTTCTCTTGGATGGTCCTGGAGATTATTACCCAATGAGAACTGCACCCCATTCAGGAATGCTTGCCTGGAAATCTCAGACAATAAAATGTCATATTTCTTGCCTCAGCTATAACAGAAGCGAACACATCAGCAGAGGGTCAAGGGAATGACATGCCATTACTGCAAAAATTTTCTCCTATGGCTACTCTTTATTCTCCCAGTGGGATTCTTCACAGGGTAATGATGGAAATCTGTTTGCACATGAACTGCTTCCCTTTTAGTTCTAGCAGGGTGACAGGAATCATTCCTGCTCTAAAGACCCCAAAGTCAAGTGAGCTGAACTCTTTTGGAGTGGGACTCCAGTGCTCACAGCTTTTCTATTGAAAATCAGTTCTTTATAGGGTGAAAGAATGGAATTTTCATAAAATCAGTTCATCATAGATACAGCAAATCTAAACTAGAAAGCAATTCAGACACATGGGAAAGAAAATGCAGGCATGAGGTGCTCTGTTCGTACAGGGCTGTGAATGAGCAGCTTAATAATATCGGTATAATAGTGAGCAGAAAATGGATGCATACACTATGCAGATCAGAAATGGATGTACTATTTCAAATGAGCCTAGCAACAGGCACATACATTACATGTGGCATCTCTAGTACAAGTGTATCCTATGTAAGCTTATGCAAGTTTGTAAAGAAAAAGAAAAAAAAAAAAGCACAAACCCACAACAATTATTTGTTATACTGATTTAATTGACAGAGCAGAGGACATTCTGGTTTGTCACAGCAATACACTGAAAAGAAGTGGTTCACTGCCTTCTCAGTGGCTTCCCCCTCTCAGAAGCATGCAAGAGAAAAGGCTGGAAATCACAGAGGAAGACATTATGTATCTCTGTTTTTCTTGTAGGAATTTTGTTACTGAGCTCTGGATAGTGATGATGGGAGAAGGAAGGCTTCTACATTGCACCCACTGTGCACCAAAATCTAATCATGTGGATCCATAAAAAAAGACAGAAAACGTCACCCCATCAGTGAGATGTGCAGGCACTGCAGTTCAAGTTAGCCTCCACCCTCCTCCAGGTGGCTTGGTGATCCATCACCAACACCTGTGGGAACAAGCAGCTGGAGATGTAGCAGATGTAGCAGCTGCAAGAGGAAGCTTCTCTGCTTCTCAGCTGCTTCTCTGTCAGCTCCTACTCATCCTGCCCTTTCCTATACGCATACCTTCCCAAAGGCACCAAAACATCCATCTCACTTCTCCACCCTACTGTCACATCAGTTCCTCCTTCATCCATCCCATCTGCATTTCACCTACCAAACACTCTCCACCCACCTTACATCAGGCTGTTAACACCCATATTTCCTGTGCTGTCATGTGCCTGATCTCAGAGCCTGAGCAAAAGTGCCAGCTGGGAGAGATCCTTACAGCAGGCTCCAGCAGCAGATCAGCAATGGATTTCCTTGTGGAGATACAGAGAAAAAAGATAAGTCATTTTGAATGTAATAAAGCATTTACAGTTTTTTTCACAGCCAGAGAATTGCATATCATTATATCTGACCTTTTATATCACTATTCTATAATTAATCTGTTTGCTTTGTTTGTTTTTAAATGCATCAACACTCTTCTTTGAAATATATTTCACTATACAGTGAAAAACAAATAGAAATTGCTAATATACTCTGTTACGTACACCCTGAGCTTTAACCCCCACCAAAACCCAAGCTGAGAGCAGTCACCCTAAGAACTCAGCCCTGCTAAAGCTGGGGGTTTTGAGAAGGGAGTGGGGAGGCACCGGGGCTGTGCTGTGCCCGATGAGCAGCACTGCGCACAATGGACAATTGTCTTCCAGGTGTATTCATTTGTCTCCACAGAACAACATTCCACAGAGCACAAAAGCCTTCAGTGTAGGGACAGCTAAGCATAACAAATGACATACCAGACTTTCCCTGGGGCTTTGATGATTGTAAGAGGTCTCTGTGCCACAGTTATTGACTTTGCTGTCTTTGTGTTATCCTTTAAAATGTATTAATGTGTTGCATCATTCCAAGTTCTGGTGCAGGATTCACACTGGAAGGTAGGGAAACTAGAGGAGGAAGAAGGACTCTGAAATAATTCTTAGCCTGGCACTTTCTAAAATAGTCTGTTAGTTTGTTGTCTTTCTGGCTGCTGGTTTTGTTGTCTCCACTCTTTTTTTTTTTTTTTTTTTTTTTTACAAGGCAAAGGTTTTTACAGAGTGAACTATCTTCATGTAGCTCCAAATAACCACTTATTTTGGTAAAATTTATAACACCAGATTCTACTTTTAGCCAGGAAATGCAAACAAAGCTTGGAGACAGCTTGTTCCCTGACCCCAAATTCATTCCATGTTGCTATAGCATCAACCCCTGAGAAAATGGGACCAGCTCTTTTCCTCTTCATAGACTTGCTCAATGGGCTTTTGTCAGCTGTTGAATTATAGCATTAAAATTTAAATACTAGGGATTTAATGGAGGATTATTATGACACCCTGGTACATTCTTTGTGTTGCTCTTGGCAACAAACCCAAGGAATGAGTGAAAGAAATAAAAACGAAGAGTTGTCTTGTTAAAATCATGCTGGTGCTAAGACATATTTAGGAGAGAGAAAAATGGTTTCCTACCTCTGACTATTATCATTACATCAAATGGACTGAAAACCCTTTTCAGACAGTAAGCAAGACTAGCAGTGGAACTCCATTCCAAAGCTGTTATCATATTTTGAAAACAGGCTTCTTTCTACCTTGTGCACAAAATAAATATAATCAACAGTTAGGAAAAGGGCATTGCATCTATTTACTACTTCCTGTGACTAATCAGATAACAGCAACACTTTTTAACATTCTGGTATTTCAGAAATGTCAGACAAACTATTTTAAAGCAGAAAGCACTATCTGCCTCTATCAGAATGTATGCATGACAAGTTTTGTATACATATTGCATATGCGTAACTTACATAAATGCTTAAATTGCTTAATAAAAATGGGCTTTCTTAGTATCATGGTTTCTACTAAACTTTCTATATTTTAAGAATGATTTGCACAAAACATCACCTTTTTCATAGAACAGAATAAAATTTGGTGTCATTCTTTAAACAGGAATTTCATTCTGAGCTGTATAGCCAGCCTGTGCAATGAAATGTCACAGAAATCATCCGTGGAGCACACTTTGTCTGCTGATCACTAGTTTTCCCCAGAGAAATCAGGTCCAAATTCACCTCTAGTCTAACTGCTCTAAACTCTGTCCAGATGTGTGGTTTTTACTCTTTTTCTTTTTTAGTAATTACATTAAATACATTGTGTCTGTGTGTGTGTGAGACAGAGAAATATCTAGAAATACGAGCTTTATATAGCTTTCAACTTGAAACTCTGGAGGCAACTTAACGTATCTTCTATGAATGAGCATCAGCATAATATATTTAACACACTAAAATAAATTCATGAGCTGAACCAGCTTTTTTGAACACAAAGCTAGCTTCTGTATGTTAGGATGTGTCACAGATTGGTCATCTGAACTTATTTTCTTGGGTAAAGAGAAAGCAAGCATGTTAAACGTGACCCTGCACACCTCTGCTTGAGCTGGCTGAGAAAACTGCACTAACAATGAACATCTGATTAGCAAGCACAGCTGGGACAAAAACAAATTGGACAGAGGCAATGGACAAAAGGAAGTGATAGCCAGCTAATGACAACAACAAAAAAATAACCTGATCTCAGCACATTAACGTTGGTGTGTAAGTATAAAACAAACAAACAAAAAAAAAAAAAACAAAAACACTGTTAAAACACTGTTAGTGAGAAAGAATAGAGGAAGGACTGCTTCAGTACTTTGTTTTCGTTAATAAAACACTGAAAACATTATATTAAATTCTCTCCTGAGATTAGTCTCCCACAAAAAAAAAAAAAAAAAAAAAAGGACAACTCATAAAGCTACCAGATTTTTCAGAACCATACAGAAAGAGAGAAAGAGGATAAAAGTTTTCCTTAAATCCCAGGGAAATGGTTGACCACGGTCATACATTCCTGGAGGGGTGTGTGGGCTTGTCTGGTTGTCTTTCTATTTCAGAATTGCTTCACACACAGGATTTGTCCAGCCTTAAGTAGAGGATAGGTGAACTGGACACCTTGAGATGATTCATTAATGTGCTCTGTCCTCTTTGAGGCTTCAAACAGGGAACTAATTAAGCCCCATGTACTTCAGGAACTATTACAAGTGTAAATTCACTTGTGGTGTGCCCACTGTGTACACAAGCAGAGTGGAGAATAGCTGTCACATGAAAACAGAGGCAGGAATCATGCTAAAATATAAATTAGATGCTGGGAACATGGAGAAAAATGCTACCTTGTTTCCAGGAAGGACAAAGGGAGAAGAAGGGCCTCCAAGGAGGCTCAAAGAGGTATAAAAGCATGGGAAAGGGAACTTCAAGGTAGTGTGGAAAAGCCAAGCCCTATTTTTGAGTATGATTTTTCTAGTGCTTGGATTATCTTCGCTTATTTTTACAATAAAGAGGTGCCTTCCACGTTACTGATCTTTACTGATCTCTTTCAGTGACTAGTGAAAAATATGTCAAATGTATTAGTTTAAAATGTATGATAAAGTGTCCCAAATAATGATGGATGGAAAACCTTGCCTAGACCCTGGGTGGGGAGGGGGGGAGTATATAGTGAAAATACTGACCATGTATAATAGAAGTAATGACCAGCATAATGTATGGAAGAAAATCTTTGGCAAGCTGATGCAGCAATTTAAAAAGTGTTCTTGTTTTTATAATTGATCTGTTTGCTCTGTTGGAGATGCTATCTCAGCTAGAGCACATCTGAGAATATGAGTGTTTATGGTTTCCATTATGACCACTTTAGCACCTTGGATCTTTTCTTTGTGTTTCTGTAGAGTACAGTTACTCCTGTAGTGCCTGCTGCTGGCTTCACACATTGGAAACTGGTCGTGTGTAGTAGAGAGAATTTAAAAAGCAAGAGCAGCTATCCTATTCTCTCATAAATATTTTCTTGTTTGTGTTTCCAGACTGCCAAGAAAGATCTTCTCAGAGCATCATGTGGCTGGAACACCTGAAAAATTTTCTTGACACTTTCTCACCAAAAAGCTTTAAGATGAGACCATATCCTCTCATAGAAATAGTGTTGGTTAGACAGACATCCAGTACACACTGTTGCTAGCTGGCCGTGGAAAAAACATCAGCTTTCTATGCTACAAATGTTTTATTAAATCCAGGTAAATCTAGTGCTAGTATTTTGTTATTTTTATTTGAACATGAGTTCAACAAGGCCAAGTGTCGGGTCCTGCACCTGGGGCGCAACAACCCCAAGCAGAACTACAGGCTGGGAGATGAGTGGTTGGAGAGCTGCCAGGCAGAGAAGGACCTGGGAGTGATGGTGGACAGTCGGCTGAATATGAGCCAGCAGTGTGCTCAGGTGGCCAAGAAGGCCAACGGCATCCTGGCTTGTATCAGAAACAGTGTGACCAGCAGGGCTAGGGAGGTGATCGTCCTCCTGTACTCAGCTCTGGTGAGGCCGCACCTCGAGTGCTGTGTTCAGTTTTGGGCCCCTCGCTACAAGAAGGACATGGAGGTGCTTGAGCGGGTCCAGAGAAGGGCAACGAAGCTGGTGAGGGGCCTGGAGAACAAGTCCTACGAGGAGTGGCTGAGGGAGCTGGGCTTGTTCAGCCTGGAGAAGAGGAGGCTCAGGGGTGACCTTATTGCTCTCTACAGGTACCTTAAAGGAGGATGTAGAGAGGTGGGGGTTGGCCTGTTCTCCCACGTGTCTGGTGACAGGACGAGCGGGAATGGGCTAAAGTTGCACCAGGGGAGGTTTGGGTTGGATGTTAGGAAGAACTTCTCTACCAAAAGTGTTAGGCATTGGAACAGGCTGCCCAGGGAAGTGGTGGAGTCACCATCCCTGGAGGTCTTTAAAAGACGTTTAGATGTTGAACTTAGTGATATGGTTTAATGATGGAGGACTTGTTAGTGTTAAGTCAGAGGTTGGACTCGATGATCTTGAGGTCTCTTCCAACCTAGAAATTCTGTGTGATTCTGTGATGATTACTTGTTGATATTTGTAGATCCTGTATTTTAAACACACATTTAGTTCATGGAGATGGTGAATGTTTTAGAGACCCTCTAGTGCTGAGATTACTAAACTAAGTCACTATGCGTGGTTTTAAAAAGCAGTATCTGCTGATGATTTTTACCTCAGGTTTACACATGGCATAAATATCACCAGTAAATAACAAGTGATGAAGAGAGCATTCCAAACTGTAGAAAACATGATTGTTTTCTGTATTTTTTCCAGACTTTTATTTCTGATATTATTTTAGATTTACATTAATTCAAACAAAATCTGATTCAAGACACTAGTTATATTACAATTTCCAAACCAAGTTATATTCCTACTACAGAAGGCAACATTTCTTGTTAAAGGGAAGCAAAGCACAATACTGTGGGAAAAACAAAAAGTCCCACTTACCTGGCTGGCCTCACAGAAAATCCCCTACTGAAAGGGAAAAAAAAAATATTATTTTCCTTCAGCAGGAGTCCTTTTTTATTTATTTTTTTATTTTCATGTATTTTTTTGATGGTGAGACATGGGTACACTGAGTAGCACCTGTGAAACAAACAAACAAGTCCATAAATAAACAAAAATATTGCTGACAGAATTTAGCCTTTTTAATTATAATTTTATTTTATATTTTTATTATTAATAATTTATTATTATTTATATTGTTATATTTTTATTATTTATTTTATTATTATTGTTTTTGCTCTTCTGTCCGTAAGAAAGACAGCTATAAGTACTACATATGAGCTTCCATCTCTTATCTGGACTGGTTTCAGCTAAAATTGTCAGAGGAGCCAATGAGACAAAACAAATACAATTATTCTTTAGATGAATAGTAGGCTACAAAATGCTCTCAAGGTTTGCAGTCCATTAACATGAGTATTTCCAACTGTTTTTGGCCATTTTCTGTTCTCTCACTGGCAATGAAGAGATCAGTATCCCACCTTTATCCTTCTGTCATCTGGAAGCTCATCCTCCTCAAATTGCTTTCTGCACAGATACGTCCTTCAGAAAATGCAGCAAAATGCCTGTTTTCTCATGTGATCTCGTCTTGCTGCCTACTATGATGTCATCTTCTGAAAGCTACTTTTGCTTTTCACAGATAAAATAGTTTACAATGAGTTATTGTAAGACACAGGGTATTTTTTGCATATACCTCTATGATTTTCCCTCTACAGGGATCTCAGAAATGTGTGATGAAGACAACTGCACTACAACAATAGCCAATGCAAATGCATTGTTTTTATCTTTGGAATTGAACACCTGACATTTAGCACGTGGAAGAACTATTAAAAGGTGCCTTTATTACTCTATTGCTATGATATGCTTTTTATATGCATTTTATATTTTTTGTTTATTTTTTTTTTCTGGGACAGATGTATAAATTCACCACAACCAAGTCCTGTCTTAAGGCATATGATCCTTATTGAAAAAGCAGGCAAGAGTGATTTGACTTACTTTGGGAACAGAACAGAATGTACCTCCTGCATGCCTGCTAGTGCTCCTTGAGTATTTAATAGAAAATAAGAGTTTTAAATTTGTTCCCAATTTCCTAGGACTTAAGTGACCCATTTTACTTCCCCATAACATTGTATGAAATATTTGTCTACATAGCTTCTGAAATTATCTCCCAAATTCTTTTACATTTCTTCCTGCCAAAAATTATTTTTTCCAGATGCAAACAAAATTCTGAAAATTTTTGAAGGAAAAATATGAGTAACATTTAAAACATCATTGCCTATTTCATGAAAAAAAAAAAAAGTAAAATGGATGTGAAAAGAAATGTAAAATGCATTTGGGAAAATGAGCCATGTTTTGAGCTGTTTTCATTCCTGGTTGTGTAGCCCACAGCCGATGGAGCTTATCAGTACAGCCAAGAAATTTACAAGACTTTTAGTTCTTCTCATGTTTCCCACAGACAATAATACAATTTCTGTAGATTTTTGTTTTAATGAAGCTGAAAGTTTCACTTCTCTGTTGAAAATGTGCCAAAATTCAGGTTGAAAAATTTCTCTATATTGTATTCACATGCAGCATCATTTGTTTATTTTTTTACCACCTTTCTCTAAAACAGCTTTAAAATGTAAAAAATATATGGTTCAGAATCAACCTTCACTTTCTGATGTTTAGTGAATTTTTGTGATGTTATAAGTATTTTCAGTGGCTCTAATCAGGCACATATTTTCATGCATTTTATTTTTAATATTGACATTTCCTGTTTATATATTAATTTATTTTCAAATTTCCAGCTCTCGCTCCAAGGCCATCTCCAAATTTGGTAGCAATGTCAATGGGATACTTCTTGGCAAAGATATTGCTCACATTTTTGTTCTGTGATTGTATTCAGTAAATCCTTGATAAAATCCCAAGACCTTGGGGGGGCAATAAAAGCCTGTTTTGTGTTGCAATAATGTTTTTGTGCAATTTGTTTCCTTCTGCTGAATTAAAAATGACTTTATCTGTAAAAAGTACTAGGCTCTTTTTATAACTTGGGGCTGATGTAATGGTAGCAATTTAAATACTTCTTGGCAATGTTTTTCCATTGAGTGAGCATATGGTCTAATCTATCAACAACATGCACTGGTGATTTATCAAAAATGTTTCATTTTCATAGTCTTTTTTGTTATACTAGCCATTCATTTAGTTTGGAACAAAATGAATTCATTCTCTAGTCAACTCATATCTGAGCGTGCTTTCAGAATGACAAATCCCACAGTTGCTCTGTCTGTGCAAGTATTCCATGTCACCTTTTCTTCAACTTGGTAACAGTCTCAATAATTCCATATTTCAAAGCCATTTACTTGTATAAGGTTTTCTTCCTTTCCTGTGTGGCGATTTAATTCCACCCCTTATTTGATCCTGCTAATCTGACTTTAAGAAACTGTAACATTCTCCTATTTTCACAGGGCAAGCGTTTCTTTTCCTGTACTTTGTGTTGGCAGACTTTGTCATTTGACCTACAACATGTCAAATGATTTTCCATAAAAAGTTTATTGACTGTTATTACTGAAGAATTTATTATACTACTACTCTGGCTATGAAATCTTAAAATTATAAGGACTTTTGTTTTCTTGCTTTTCTGTTTATTGTCCTTTTATATCTACTAAAATTTTCTACTAAAATTTTCACAACTTATTGGAGAACTTCATATCATCCTGCAATCTTTATTGAATGCCATATTGATTTGCAATTATTGAGAGGTACTTTCTAGCAGTTTCAGGCATTTTGGACATCAAAAATGAGTTCTTTATTGTGTTACTAGGACTTTCTTGAAACCAATCTGTTGCTAAGTTGTCAGAAGTTTCCATCACATCAACTTGCCTTACGAAGTACTTTCTCTTCTGCACACGTAACTCTGTGTTTTTACATGCAGTGTGTTTTTAAGTATCTCTGATGCACCTGAAAATTTTCAGGACACTGTGGTTTTGGCATTCAGCTTTGTTCCAGTTGGGTTATTCTGGCACATTTACAGGTAAAATATATTTCAGGTAAGTTGTCACCTGTGCTCCTTCTGCGTTGGTTCTAGCATCATTCAGTTTTACTTGCTTCCATCTTTGCCACTTTTATAGGCTCTTTGTCATTTTTAATTGCTCAACTACAGTGTCAACGTACTAATAAAAGTCCTTTCTGATGGAGCAAGAACCTCCAGTAGGAAGCTTCTGCAGTAAACAGTGTCTAAAAGAAACATGTACTTAGGGAAGTGTCTACTCACTTGTATTGTGGAGGCCCAGACTTCACTGAAAAACAACCCAAAGTAGTTCAGTTTTGCAAGCTATTTAGACACTAGTGTTTATTTTATTTTGATACGTGTTTTTGATTATTAATAAAATATATATTTTTTTTGGGGGGGGGGGGGGGGGGGAGGGGAGGGGGGGACACAGGTTCTTATGTTCTTTAAACCTACACCAATCATCAGTACATTCAAAAGGGAGAATAGTGGTCAAAATCTTATCCTTATTTATAGCCAATTCAAACGGTTTTCTGGAAGGGGTGGCATGGGTACAACTAGTTTTAAAAAGTAGTTCCCAGAGAAAACAACTGCAGGGAAATTAGATTTTTGCTGGAATCATACTGAAGCTTTACTGGAATCAGATTCAGTACTCAGAGTAACTCCAGATTTTAAACTCTGTTCTTGCCCAGATGGTTTTCAGCCAGACTTCATTATTTTTGGTGAGCTCATTTAAATTTTTACTTTATTCTTCAATCTGCAGACAGCTGGAACATTAAACTTTGATTTCAGCTCTTGTTTTTCTTAAGATTTTAGTAAATGTCTGTGCAGTTCCCAGCTTTTTAATCTTCTAGACTCATGCAAGGGGCAGCAGAAACATTCTTCTTTTACCTGAAATCCAATAGTATAAGAAGACAAAGGTTGTCCTAGGAAATCAGAGTAATGTTTCCAACAGCTATTTCCAATGAATGTTTGATAGCAAAGTGCTGAAAACAGTTGTCACAGATAATTTTGTCACTTTTATAACAATTTCTAAAGTGTGGTTTTAATTCTATTTGGAGATCACATTCAGCAGGTATGACCTTGCTTACTTGTATTTACAAGAAATATCTTAACCTATTTGTTGTTCAAATTCTAAAGGGAGCAGAGGCACTCTGCAGGATGGGGGCCCCCTGGAGCCACAGATGAGAGTATAACTTCTTTTTCTTATTGGCCTGGGCTTAAGCTGTTGACCTCAATGATGTCTAGTGACAGTTAGTTCCTCAAGTTAATCAGTAACTCTGAGAATATTTCCATTTGTTTCACATCTGCTGCCTTTCAATTTCATTGGACCTCCATCTTTCCTGTATTATGAAAAAGGCTAAATATAAGAGTGCACATGCTTTTTCTATAACTCCCCATGTTTTGAAAACCACCATCACATCTGCTCAGCATTCCTGTTCTCTTCACTGTTTCGTATGAAAGACACTGCCTCTAACAACTACTGTCACCAGCTACAGACTCTAAGTTTCTGTCTTCTTCAGAATTGAAGTGCTGTTTTGTCTACGAAGGTATTGACAGACTTCAGAAAGAATCGTGTGCAATTTGCAGTCCTTCCTGTGCCCTTTCTGTGTACTGTTGGCTTTCTGTAGCTGTTGATACAGATGGAGGGTTTGTGTGGCTGACCTCAGAGTATTTCTTATGATCGGAGGGAAGGCTGACAAGTTTGTCTGATGACTCACCCTTGTACCCTCTTTTCCTGCCCTTGACTCTTACATTTGAGTGGTATCAGATAACACCTATTAAAAACATAACAGAAACTTATGGCTTTCCATAACGATGGCTTTCTCTGTTCTTTGGGCATCTTGGCACTAAATGAAAATATCAATGAAAGGGTTGGATCAGGGCAACAAAACTCCATACCGGCTTTGCTTTCCTTGCTTCTGTGTGGTGTCCATCTCCTAAAAGCCCTTGCTGTTCTACCATTGCACAATCAAAGATAGCTCTTAAATGCAGTTGCTAAAAGCAGAAATTTTTAAGTCTGAACATTGTGAAGTCAGAAGGAAAAAATACAAGGCTGTTTCACCAGGAGGGAAAATAAAATAAAATTCTTTATATTTAGATCTTCATGCTGGGTTCTGAGAATCCCAAATGTCAAAACACTAACTTCAAGGAAAGTGGAAACAGCTCTATTGGCAGTTCAACCTAGTGACAATATAAGACTTTAAGTAGGGGCTTGTGAGTAAATGAGTGATTAACAAGTCACTCTTTTAAATTAGTTTTCCATAAGGAATTCAGATGGAAGTTCATCTGGTTTGGATAAGTAATGGCAAGAGTTAATCCACAAATTTGCTTGCGCATTGGGCAGGCGTTTTGGTGAGATTTCTCATTCTCACCGTCTGGTATAATGGGTTTATGTGGCAAAGTTTTGGTAGCAGGAGGCTGCAGGGGTGGCCTCTGCGAGAAGAGCCCAGAAGCTGCCCCATGTTTGATAAGGAACCGAGTCTGACAGCTCCAAAGGGACCCACCACTGTCCAGAGCCGAGCCAATAAATGATGTCTGTAACTCTGGGAGAGCATATTTAAGAACAGGAAAAAAATCAAACAAACAAACAATTTTTTTTTGTCGTTGTTGTTTTTTAGTTTTTCACAGTGCTAGTCCACTACTGGTAAGTAATAAATTATATTATTCTCCCTCTGCTGAGTCTTTTTTGCCCATGATGATAATTGGTCTCCCCGTCCTTATCTCAGTCCTTGAGCTCTTTTCAATTGTATTTCTCCCCCTTTTTCTTTGAGGAGGGGGATTGAGAGAGCAGTTGTGTTCGAGTTCACCTGCCCAGTTGGGTAAAACGACCACAACCTGGAAGTCTTGGAATTGTGTTCTGACTTGATCTTTTCTAACATTTTTAAGGTAAGTTAAAACCAAGAAATGGAACTCCAAATGAAAACCAAGATGAAGACAATTCAGACTGTTCTTGGATTCAGTGTTAGAAGGTTTTGCTGCCCCTAAAAAATGACTCATTTCAAAATCACAGTAGATTTTAAAGGAAGTTCTGTTATTATTTTTGTGCCTGAGCAAAGAAATAAAATGCACCTGATTAAAGTAATGAAACACATTGAATAGTTTACATTTTTTTTTTCCTAGTAATGCATATTAAAACCACTTGTAGACTCTTTAGTTTCCAGACTGGAAACCCCAAAATAGGACTAAAAACACCATCAGAAATTGAATCTGGTCATGTCTAGTAATATATACACTGCAGATCCACAACACAACAGTAGTTTAAAAACTCTTCAGCTCTGCCATACATTTAGCAGCAAGCAGTTCGAATCAGTACATGCTGTTACAGATAAGGAAGACTGAGTGGACCACTGACTGAGTTCCCAATTTTAGAGTACGGATTAAGCTATGTAGAAAATAAAAATATTAAATTGAGTGTCTCTGATAAATATTTACTCTCTGACAGGTTTGAAACTCAGTATGCTAAGTAAAACATACAATTTCTTAGTGACATTTGAACTATGAAGTCATCTCAATAATGTTATAATACATTGGAATAGGAACAAAAAACAAATGAAATATCTCCTGGGGCCAAATGATTACAACAGCTTTTGACTAACTCTTTTCACTTTCCATCTCCCCTTGCTATTTGTACCTAGCACTCAAAGTCTGTTTCTCATGTTGTGAATGCCTGGCTTTCTTATTTTGTAAATCACAGAATACCATGTGAAAACATGCACACCAATTAAATAATTACATCATGAAAAATCTTATTAACAAAACATTTTGCTAAGGCATGGGGGATATAGTACAGCACTATCACAGAAGCACATTTGAAAGCAAATGAATCTATAAATAATCCTTTGCATGTTTTCTTGTGAAGATATTGGCTATAAATTTATGCAACTCATATAAACATGGAACCTTCATAATATGATTTGGGATAGCCTTCTAGCTTCATGTAATCTTCCCCTGCATACTGTGATGATGTTCACCAGTCATGCTTAGAAAGCTCATTTTGTTTTTAATAATTCTCAAGGATAAAAAAATAAAAAATAATAAAAAAAAAAAAAATGAAAATGAAATGAGCTACCCCAACTCAACCAAAATGTTGTATGTGCAATAATGGTCTGTAACTTATGGCCTTATCCTGGAACTGCTACCAGACACAGACTATGGTCCTCCCCCATGTGTCTTCAAAGAAAAGTACCCCTGAACCTACTGAGACAGGGCATTGTTCAATATGAGAAACAGGAGAAAAGTCTAACTTCTTCACAGTAAAGACTGATGAGTTTCTGGATTTCCATGTTTTTCAAGTGATTTCTATGCAGTTCCATCGATTTTTCAAAAGAGTAGGGTTAATGAGCCATGTCCTTGGACATTATTTTCTGGGGTCAGTTTTGTGACTAACTTGAAAATTAGTCACATAGCATCCCTAAGTCTCTTCCTTGACCATACCTGATCTTCCCAAATGGTGCAGTTGGAGAAGAGAGAGGTTAAAACTAAGGCTCCCAGATCCAGCCATGGTAGATCCATTGTCATGACCACACATTTGTTGTGTGCCCACAGGAAATCACAGACTACCTTTGGGCATGAGGAACACACCACCCCTTAGACCTCCCCCATGACCATGTAGCTTTGCTCAGGATCACAGACCAGGTGTAATCCATCTAAATTAAATGATTATACAATTTATCCAGTTCTGTCATCTTAATCTAATCTCCTGTTGTGTGATGAGCTTTATTTTTTGCTTTATCCAGGATTGCCAAGTTCAGAAAACTTCCTATTTTTACTCTTGGCTAGATGCCAAGTAAGTAAATAATAAAGTAATAAAAGAAATCATAGCAAAAGTACATTATAAAGGAATATTCAGTCAACACCCAATTTAAGTCTTTCCACGCACTTAGAATTTCTATAATTGACTGAGACTGTAATAAAGATATGTAGCTAGATAATTAAAAAAGAAAAGTCTTGCTGCAAAATAATGGTTAACATTGCAAACATGATAACCTGCGTGAAAAAAAAAAAAAAAAGTAGAACAAGAAAGAGAAAAATCAATCTTCTGAAACAAAACAACAAAAAATAGTGCTTCTTTCAAATGTTCCATTATTAGGTACTGAGAACTTGAACTTATGTATCAGATTCAATATTAATTAAGGGGATGTAAATTAATTGTATGTAAAGTAGAGTGATAGATAGATAGCAAATAGACTGCAAAGGAAGAAGCTTCCAGTATACTGACTGACTCAATATATCCTTTGAGATATAAATT